AGGAAACAACAATTAAACAAATAAGGGTGGCACCACCCAGTCTGGACAACTGGGTCCAGTTTGGGAGTGGGAGGCAGTGGTGGAAAGCCCGGACACCTGGGTCCCCTTTGGAGCAAGGTGAGCCAACAACGGCCCCCCCCCCCCCCCCCCCCAGATGCCTGGGGTCCGTTTAGGTAGGTGGGTTGGAGTAGGGTGAGGACCACCTGGATGCCTGGGTCTTCTCCGTGTCCCCCTCTTGGTCCATTGGTTGGACCAGAAAAAGCCTCCTGAGATACTTGGGATCCTCCTGAGATACTTGGGTTCCTCCCGAGATACTTGGGTTCCTGCCCAAATAGGACCCACGGCACCCACCCAGGTCCTTTCCCCCCACCCAATCCTCTTACGGGTCCACGTATCTCCCCAGGGTTGTCCTCCAACCATGCTGGTCCTCACTATCTACATCCTGACCTTCTCCGTGGGCTTCCCGGCCAACGTCTTCACCTTCGCCACCCTCTTGGGCAAGGCCCGTCGGCGTGTCTCCCCCTCCGACATCCTCCTCCTCAACCTGACAGCCGCCGACCTTCTGCTCCTCCTCTTCCTCCCTTTCAAGATGGCCGAAGCTGCCGCCGGCATGACTTGGCCCTTACCGGCTGTCCTCTGCCCGGTGGCCAACTTCTGCTTCTACTCCAGCATCTATCTCAGCAGCCTCTTCTTGGCGGCCCTCAGCGTTGAGCGGTATCTCGGTGTCGTCTTCCCCCTCCAGTACAAGGACCGGAGAAGACCAGCGCGGGTGATGGCCGCCAGCGCTGTCCTCTGGCTCTTGGCCTGTTCCCATTGCTCCATCGTCTTCGTGGCCCAGTATCATGGCGGTGGGAACCAGACCCCGGCCAACAGGTCCACGGTTATGGGCTCCGATGGCTCCACAGTCAACGGGTTCAAGCTTGGGAGCTCCAAGATGTCCAACGCTGATGACTTCAACCTCAATGGCTTCAGCATCTCCAACCCTGATGGCTTCACCCACAGTAACTCTCAGATCTCCAGCCCCAACATCAGCAAGCCCAAGGTCTTCGATATCTCCAACTCCGGTGACTCCACGGACAATAACTTCATCCCCCACAGCTCCAAGAGCACCAACAGCGACATCTCCGCCCGCAGTGGCTCCAGGATCTCCAGCCCCACCGTCTCCACCTCCAAAATCTCCACCACCAAAGGCGCCAACATCCAGGACATCTCCGGCCCTACTGGTGTCTCCCAGACCTCCAACATCCCCAGTTCATCTGCTCCCAGCGTCCATGATCGCTCCACTACCGACAAAATCCAGAAGTGCTACGATGACTTCTCTGAGGACCAGCTGAGCTTTGTCCTCCCGCTACGCCTGGAGCTCTTCCTCGTCCTCTTCCTCCTGCCCTTCACCGTCACCATCTTCTGCTACATCAACTTCGTGCGAGCCCTCCTCGCCCGGCCAAATATCCCGCTGGAGAAGAAGCAACGAGCCGTGGGCTTGGCCGTGGCCACCATGGTCAACTTCGGGGTCTGCTTCGCGCCCTACAACCTCTCGCACGTGGTGGGCTTCGTGGAGAAACGGAGCCCGGACTGGAGGGTCTACGCTTTGCTCCTCACCAGCCTCAATGCCGCTCTAGACCCTCTCGTCTTCTACTTCTCCTCCACGGCGGTGCAGAGGGCCATGGCTGGGGTGGTGGTGGCCATGCAGGACAAGCTCCGGGTTGTGGTGGGTTGGTATTACTGGGCACGTTCTCCTGGGCCTTCCCAGAACGAGTCTGAGGGCTCGTTGACATGAAGCTTGTTGGGGGGACCGGGGGTGGGTGGGTGAATGGTCTCACCATGGGTGGGGGGTTGGATTTGGGGGGGTGGTCGGAAGGGCTTTGGCCAATGGTGGCGTTTCTAATGTCCTTAGGGTCGTGGCCGACTCGGCCCCATAGCATCAAGCAACACTGGGTCATAGGAACATCTCCAACAGCTGTAGGGCTATGGAGAACACGGACCCATGGTTCGGGGTGATGACATCATCCACCGGATCACGGCGTCATCTCCGACATCCGTGTGGCCACGGACAACTTGGACCCATAGTTTGAAGTTTATGGTCTCCATAGATCTGTGGGCCCCATAGGGCCAAGATGGATGTTGTTCATGGCCTCCATGGGTTGAGGGTCTCCATGAAGCCGAGGACTGTGTTGGTTGGTGGCCTCCATGGGTCAATATTCTGCATCAGCTGATGTTCTGTGGGGGTTGACATCCCATGGGGGTCGATGTTTTCCGTGGCTTGATGGCCTCCATGGGATGGTGGCCTCCGTGGAGCCGAGGTCTGTGTTGGTTGGTGGCCTCCATGGGTCAATATCCCACGTCGGTTGACGTTCTGCATGGGTTGACATCCCATGGGGGTCGATGTTCTCCGTGGCTTGATGGCCTCCATGGGATGGTGGCCTCCGTGGAGCCGAGGTCTGTGTTGGTTGGTGGCCTCCATGGGTCAATATCCCACGTCGGTTGACGTTCTGCATGGGTTGACATCCCGTGGGGGTCGATGTTCTCCATGGCTTGATGGCCTCCATGGGGTGGTGGCCTCTATGGGGTGGTCCCCTCCTCTCCCTGCTGTTCCCCCAGAGAGCCCTACCCCAAACACGAGATATTTATTCAAGACGGTGGTCCACGAGTGGTCAATGCTGAAATGGGGGGGTGGGTGAAGGTCTGGACACCTGGCTCCAAGAGGAGAAGAGGGTGCGTCCCTCGGTGGGGTGGGGGGGGTGGGCACATCCTGATGGGGGGTGGGGGGATGGACATGCCCGGACCCCTGGGAGATGGTGGTGATGATGGTGGGGAGAAGAAGGTTCCTGAACGCCTGGGGGTGTCGTGTGTCGTCCCCCCACCACCCCAGATTTTTTTGGGGGTGGGGTAGGATGGTAGAACTCTACCCATGGTGCTCTAGCGCCATCTAGTGGCCTGGAAGTCTTCCGGCACCCATGGGTGGGTGGTCCCCCCCCCAATCCCCCCCCCCAGCCAAAATCTTGGGTCCCCTTGGCTAAAAGATCCCCCCCCTCCCCTTCCTCCCCCACCAAGGGGACCCAGGAGTCCGGGGTAATTTCCCTATAGGTC